TTTAGTTGTTTTTTACAGAAAAATAAGTGTTTATAAATGATAGCTCTTATAGAGAGTATTGTTAATGTTGCATTGTAGAAGTTGAGCGACAGCACACAACATCAGTGTTTCTAATGGAATTCTAAAACAAAATGTACAGTACACGCTGTTTTGAATAAGTAAAGTGTACAGCAAAATGTACACAACCATTTCCATTACTGAAGTGAAGCGAAAGAGCAAAAAAAAAAGAAAAAGTTGTAGTAAAAACTGAGATATATTATAAAATTTTCCAGAAAAGTGTACACGCTGCATTTTTAAGCGAAGTGTACAGCAGCGTGTATTTTTATAGCTGCGGATGTTTGTACATTTTGCTTTTGCAGTGTACACTTGCCATTAGAAACACTGGCTTTGAATATTATCAATCTTTCTTATTTACAACTCTAATGAAGCAGCCAATTGAAAACTTAATATATGTTATTGACATTATATCGAGTAATATCAAGAAAATAGTGATTTGCGTCATTTTGTGTTTTAGCATCTATGGTTGGGCAAAATACACATCGGATATGAGAAATGCTGTTGAAGATGCATATCGTGAACTCAAATCTACTGCTGGAACGGCAACACAAGAGGGTGTGAGTGTGGGTGTGGAGTGTAGGTGTGGGTGTGAATAAAATACAAATACCCACACCCACACCCATACCCTAACACTTAGAGTTTGTTGAGTAAGTGAATAATATCATTTTTGAACTTTTTCAATCATATTATATATAGATGTTTGCATAGATTTTTTTCAATTTATTATTTCGATAATTATTTTAACATTTAAATTAATCTTATGGTAATATTCTCGTCGTTTATAAAAGATTAATTTCTCTCTAATCGATCTAGAAAAAAATTAGTAAAGAAAAATCTTGTAAGATAGATGAGAAAAATCGATTTGTAGTGATCTCATTTAAAATAGCTGGGAGCTTACAATAAGCCCACTCAACTCTCTATAGAATGTGATATGTAAATCTTCTTGTTAGCCTTGTTATAGTGACCTTGTTTCTTCTGATATTCGTTCGTTTTTTTCTTTAAGAATTATTCTTCCTGATGAATAATTTATAATAAATCGAACTATTTATCCTTGAAGCGAAACATATCCATATATGTTGAAATAAGGAGAAGAAAAAAAACTAAATAAATTGAGTTCAATTAAGCGAATAAAATCTTCTATTTGATGAATAATCGTTTATCGACAGTATAAAACTAGCTTCAATTATATATTAAAATCAAAACGAAATACAATTCAAACTGAAATTGTTTATATCGGCTCTATATAAGGTTAGTTCTAGTATTTTATTTTTTTCGTTTTCTTCACAACGAAAAATCGATCTTCTGTTTTGTTTCTAGTTGCAAGATAAAAAATGCTAATGAAAATAAGTATTATTCTTGTTCTATCAATAATATGTTCATATATTGATGGTAAACGTTTATATTTAAATAATGATAATGATCTCGAATTATCAAATGAAAAAGCTCAAATGTTTCTTCGTTCTCAGTTAAATGATGATGATGATCAAGCATCATTTGATACAAGAGAATTTGGAAAAAATTGTGTTCCATGTAAATTTAAAATAAATCCATGTTGTGCACCGAATATTTGTATTAAAAAATTTTTCTGGAATGAATGTATGGAAATCAAAGCACCGAAACCTGGAAAATAAAAACACAAGAACTTCATTTTTGTTTTTTTATTGATGATTATTATTTTATTAGATTTTTCTCATTTATAAACTCGATTTTATAATTTAATTCTCTCAATTTATTTTATTTGTTTAAATTTTGAATGATTTCAAAATAATCAATTTTTATTTGATTATTTTATTCTTTTTTTTCTTCTTATCATCATTTATAATTTATCTTGAAATATTTAAATAAATTAAGTTTTTTAAATCTTTTATTCAATAATTATTTCAATAAATAAAACAAGTTATAATAAATATATCTTTCAATGATTATTTGTTTTCTTTCTAAATTAAAAATTTAAGTTAAATTCATTTTATTTATTTTATAAATAAATATTTCATTTAAATCAATATATTAAAAACAAAAAACAAAATAAATAAATATATATTTCAAAAATCGATTAATCATTAAGGAAATAAATAACAACAAAAACGAATTATCTCTATTTGATAAATTAATTTAAATTGGTATATTAAAAATAATTAATAAATAATAAAAATATATTAATCAAATTTATTAACAAACAAAAAAACAGAAACTTTATTTGATTATATTTCTCTTTTTATGAATCGATGTTAAATTGAACAAGTTCAATTCTATATATGAAAATATTTAAATTAATTAAATAAAATATTTAGGGTATACCAAAATTAGTGGCATCATTATGTTATGTCTATAATAGAAAGCTTGAATAAATGTTGGGTGTGGGTGTAGCTGTAGAGAGGAGCTACACTCACATGAAAATCGACACCCACACTTCACACCCCACACCCACTCCCACACCCACACTCACACCCACCCACACCCACACACCCCGCACCCACACGCATACCCACCCACACCCCACACCCACACCCACCCACACCCCACTCCTACACCCACACCCCACTCCTACACCCACACCCACCCCACACCCCTCACCCACACCCTCATACCTGCTTGTTTTACACCTACTAAGGCAGTACAAAATACATTCAGTAAGGTGTGGATGTAGCTGGACTGGGGTGTGTTGTATAGTGGGTGTGGACGTGAATGTGGGTGAGTGTACCTGTGGGTGTGGTTATGATTCTCGCATGCTCAACACTGACAGTGACACCCAACTATTAAAAAAAATAAAAGAGCCTTTTCAAAGAATTTTTGGATGGAATATGCCGATTTTACGCTTGTAACTTGTGGTTTTTCTCGTGATTATTGGAAAAAACTGGACGGATCGACTCAGATAATAGGAATAATTACATAAAAAATTTAAGTGAGGATGATCGGTTCTTTTGTGTCTGAGAACTTCAGTCATGCTGGTTGACTCTTGGCCGTTTCGTCTGAATGGTAGGCTCCACAGGTGCATTTTTTCTCTTGTTTTTCTTTTTCTTTGTTGATAGTTTTGCATCTTCAGTATATATCTCTAATAAGACAGGATATACTAACCAAGCAAAGCTAAATAATCCATTGAATCGTGTAAATTGTTTTGTCCGTTGATTATCCATAGATTTGTTTCGTTTTTTGTTTTTGCTCGTTCGATATGTTTCTATACGTTTGATCCATGGCTCATA